AAAATAAGGCGATATTTATACCGACAAGTAAGCCAGGGGAGTTTAAAACAGACAACAACCAGATGAAGTAAATGCTCGTCTCACCAGCAGCGCGATGTCAAGCGTGGCGAAGATCGCTTTACACACCACGCAGGACATGTTGTGCCAGCTGAACCCGAGCCTAAACGGATCAAACTCCTCCACGAACCTCAGCTGGGGCGAATCTGTTCCTCCCTCGAGAGGGTACGAGGAACTCCGCGGCACCGAAACTAATGTCCAGACTAAGAAAACAGCGCAGACGGTGGATAAGCCGAGCACCGGACGCTTCATGCTGAATGCGCGGCGAGCTACACTGCGGGAAACTCTCTCAGCCCCTGTCATAAAACACAGTCTTGGCCGACGGCTCCAGGAAACCGTGTTATCCTTGAACACTAGTGTTACGCTTGGGCTGAATACATGAATAAAACAAGAATCCGCGTCTCTTTAGACGGTTGTGTTTGAAAAGTCCGTCAGTTGTATGTTCTGTTCTGTTCTGACACTGACAGCTTGCACAGCGTCCCAGGCCAGGCGACCCGACCAGGTTATAGCGTCAACTGACTGATCACGTGACAGGCTGACAACGCAGCTGACAAATCACGTGCCCTACCATATTTGTAAACTTGAAAGTTAAGTACCAATGCTACTGTTTTATATCAGCATATAGTACAATAGTTTGACACTTATTCTATTTAAGGGGTCATATGATGCGATTAAAATTTTTCCTTTCTCTTTGAAGTGATACAAGCTCTTGGTGCATAAGGAAGATCTGTAAAGTTGCAAAAACTATAGTCTCAAATCCAAAGAGATATTCTTTATAAAAGTTAAGAGTCAACCACGCCTACCTAAAACGGCTCGTTCTAACACGCCCCCACATGTCTACGTCACAATGTGGGAAGATTTGCATAACGCCGCCCAAAGGTTCCCGCAAAGAAAGAAGGCGTAACTTTTATTCTCGCTGTAGTATTGTTGTTGCCGCCGCCGCCATGTCGTGAAGGCGCTGTGTGTTTCTTTGTGAAAGCGAAACTACTTTGTTTGGTCTTCCAAAAGAGGACACGACTAGAAATCATTGGTTACATTTTACAACACTGTTCCAGAACAGTTCAACCCAAATATTCAGATGTGTCCAGTGCATTTTATGGAGGACTGTTTCCTGATCCTGGTAGAGTAGACTACAATGCCGGCTGTTCTGACTCACAGACATGCAAGTAAGTTTTTTATATTTAAAGAATTTGCCACTGACGATTCAAACGTGAGTTTTGGGCAGTGTAGAGTAGCGCTTGTTGTTTGTCATTTCTCCAATCACAAATGCAGACATGGTTCTATGTTTACGCAGTGCGATGCAACGCAACGCGTAAAAAGACAATATAAATCATTATAATCCGTAATTATGTCCCCACTGGATGCAACAAATGCCTCGTTTTTAATGGGTTGTAATGTTTTTGTCTCATCGCTCCGGCCGGTGTTGTGCCGAATTCTGCACCCCTGCCAGATTAAAAGGCGGGGCATAGAGGAGAAACAATAATGTACAGTATGTGGAAAATAATGTGTTATTTGAACCTTAAACCGCATAAACACATTTCATTACACCAAATACACAAAATAATGTTCTTTTTAGCAGCATCATATCACCCCTTTAAATTATACAAAAAACATTGAAAAATTAAAATTAAGAAATTAAGATTATGTTTTATTGCATGTTTTTATTTTCTCGTTTTTTTGTGGAACTGTCCAGAGACTGCATTAAAAAAAACAACAACTCTAGACTGGAATATTATGAACTGAAAATGGCGGCATACGTTTTACAATATTTCTTTAAAAATATAAGTGAAGCAGTTTTGTTTAAAAATAGTATTTAATATTTGAAAAACAAAAGTCAGTAACCAACATTTAGAAATCTGTTGTCATGAAAATCAAAAACACGGATCCTGTAGACCCTAAACAACTGTATAAAGTATATATATATATATATATATAAACTTTATACAGTCTATATATAAAACAGTTCTTTCTGTTCTCAAATCTGATTGGCTGAGAGCCTTTTCCAGGAGTGCGCCCTCCGAGAGCGCCTCACCTCGGTCAGATCTTCTGAAATTTGCCACAGACTCTGATGTCTCTGTAGTGGTTAAACATGAGATATATTTTGTTTTGGATACATCTCACCGGAAGTCTTTGGTCCCATTAATCTATTATTTGTTCTTTTTTTTGTAATCAGATATTACTATTTTATTATATATATATATATATATATATATATAAATATATATAGTTTGAGTAATTATACAACATTTGGAAAAAAAATTATAAAGCCTTTTATTTAGAAGTAGCTTATAGCATAACACATTGCAAATCTTCTTTTTTATTAGATTTTTATTTAAAACAAACACTAGCTTTATGTTTTCTATTCTATCTACTTGTTTTTCTTTGTGTGTGTGTATAATATATATATATATATATATATA